ATGTGGCCTTTCGTAGCTCTGCTGTTGGTTTTTCTGAAAAAAGGGCTCCGAATTTTGTGCCAGCTCAATATTTAAATCGGCCCTGTAGCATATTGCAAGGGAATTGGTCAGCTCTTACTGCTGAAAACGCTACATATGATTGATTACTGTTGCCAATCAACAGGCTGATAAAATTGTAGAAAACAAATTGCAAGTCAATATTTTCCTCAAAAAAAGTCGCCTGTTCCCTAACCTACTTCATTCACCAAGCCCACGTTTTTGCCCTATTTCCATTTTCCAGATAGCGTGCATAATAACACATGAGCGATAAGAAGGAGTCGCACTTATTACTCGGAATTCCTATCATTCCTGCTTTCCGATAAACCCAAGATGTTCACTCTTTCTTGACAACACCACGACGCACGGTATTTAGCGAATTATTTGTATTTTCCTTAGTTGTTTCACTGAAAAAAAACCTCGCAAATCTATCAGCTATCAAACCTATCAGTAGGCTATCATGTCTTTGAGATTCCCTTCCTGTTTTCCCCTGAAAGCAGGTCGCACGATAAATAATATACCGAGGGATGGGCGAGATGCCCCACCATCCAGGGAAGCTGGGTCCCTTAGAAACAATAGGTGACGTTACCGTGGCAAAGCGAGTGCAAGCGTCCCTCTGGACGCTTTCGAACCCTTGCCCGCCTCGCTATGGTTGTTGGTCTATGACCATTGAACCCTATCCCTGTCGGCGGAGAGGCAGAGCGTTCACGTTGGCAAGTCAAAGTCAATGCAGCAGCGCGGAATAAACGAGAAAAACAAAGATCCCACCCTGCGGGCAGTTGAGCCGTTTCCGTTGGTTTTTTTTCTTCTGGTGCGGCGCCATTTCGCACACCTCCAGCGGCAAATCTATCTTACCATCTGCCTTCAAACAATCTCGTATAACGTCGAAGCAATCTATCTCTGCTGAATGACCTTGGTTTTTGTTTGAAAGTTTTCGGACTCTTACTCTCTCAATTCCTTGGAACTGACGTGATTCAGTTTTTACAGAACCTATAGTAGCATGAACGCTCCGCAGTTTTGTCTTGAATTCTTTTTCTTCTGAATGAGGTTGCCAGATGGGAGCCCTATTATTTGGTCTTCAGTTTCGGCCTCCTCATCTTCTCCTGAAGTCGAATTCCATCAATGGCGCATAGCGTTCGTTCGCTCTCCTTGTGATCAACTTAGTGTTGGCGAGTTTTCTTATATCATAGACTTCGCTTCCTAATTAAACATTCCGAGGGTACCTCTGTTTCAGAAAACCAGAAGTGCGTCGAGTGCAGACCATACACCACAAGTGACGACGGCCTCCAAGTGAATCGGTGATTAGTGATTCATAATGATAGCTGGTAGTGGATAGCTGATAGTTGTATTAAAGCCACGAGTCAGGATTAGGTGACCATAGAAGGCCTTTCCATCACTAATATTTCCAGGAATGCGCTCAGAGGGGTGATGCCACACTCCTGACTCGAGATTGCGCGCCGTCAAGGCCTCTGGCCTACTACTTACAGCGATGGGTTCGTTTCATCAGCTGGTCCCGCCCACCGCGGGATGTGGTGCGTGGCTGGCCTAACGTGTGAGATCAGCTAGGTTGATTGCCGTATCAACCGATGGAACGGCTGGCATATCCGGAAAACTCGTTTGGACGTGGCTCTCCCCCGAGCAAGCCTCCTTCACTGCTAGAAGGGAAGGGGTTTCGATTTCGGTCTTGTCGACGGTTTCTTTGCGTTTTTTCTTCACTGTCGTTCCACCTCCCATCTCTACACTCAATTTCAGGCGCCATAATGCCCAAACACGAGCCTGACTTTTGCCTTTAAAAGTAAAATGTATAGAATACAACTGCAACAGGCTAATCATTTCATTGGCAGAAAACGTTTACATTTTGATTGAGGCCGTCGTCACTTGTGGTGTGTGGTCTGCACTCGACGCGTTTCTAGTTTTGTGAAACCGAATATATCTGGATTTCTAGATTTGTCTTAAATGTTTCAAACGGCATTCGAGCAACGAATTATATACCGTAATTAGTGCAGTCACACTTCAAGAGGGGAGAGGTGTCACTGTGGAAAATGTTTTTTTTTTTTGTGACATGACTTTCAGAAACGTTCCACGGTTAATTCTTTTTTCGACCTAATCTCCTTTCACAAGGGTCACAAGACCATGCACGCTAATAGCTATGCTACTCTGCCGTCGCCTAGAGCCGCCCGGTCGCGAACGTGGCAAAGAAAAAGCATGGTGAAGTGATGAGACGCATCAGGATCCGAGGTTGCGACCTTGTGAGAGCTATCAACAAACGTTGAGCAATTGTCCACCTGTTGCGATCACACCAGCGCATCACTGGCTTTGGCAGGATTTACAGCTTATCCTCGCGCAGAGTCTAGTAGGCGCTACTGGCGTGGCAACTAGAAATATTAGATACCCTTTCCACAGATATGACGGCTATTATGGCTGCGTCTCTAGTCACAGTATATTTCCACCTAAGTTCATTGGAATGAGGAAGCGTTTACATATGCTGCACTTGAGTTGGAAAAACGTGTCGAAACAGGAGTGTGATGAGTTTTTATGGGTGGTGAAGTATTCGTGACAAGAGCGTCAAATGATTCACAGTGATTTTGCATGTGTGTATTTGATCCTTTGTCTCCGGGTGTCAGAAAAGGACCATCCTAAAATTGGTTTATTGCTGATCATACCGGTTTCGTCATTACTCGGAGGCGTTTAACCGTACGTGCGAGTTTTCTTTTTCAGCGCTAGTCAGGCTGGGAAGAGGGAGGAGTGGGACCAAAAAAGTAGTTTCGCCAATGGCTCCACATCACCAATCTTTCTTGCACAGGGGGTGCATATAGATAGGTGGATGGAATTTTTACGGCATAATAGTTCTCAAATGTTTCTCATAAAGCGAGAAGCAGGCCTTCCTTCACTTGTCATCACAATCTTCAGAAATGACGTGACTTGTCGATCGCCGTTCGAGCTTAGATAGGGCTACGTGAAACGCGGTCCAGGCCGAAGCTGCTACATAGTCGTTTCTTCAGTACGTGTAGCTAATGAATTAGCTTTCTATACGGTGAAGATCTGTGGTGTGATGTGGATCAACCTTGCACGAAGGGTGTCGGAACGGGCTTAAAGGTGAATGGATTCCCTACGACAGGTTCGTGAGCTCTACCGTGCGCTATGTTCCGAGGGTAGAGATTTACCATGGAGGGGGTTTTTTCTTTATGAGAGCGCCAGTGTGTTCTTCAGATTTACAATTGATAGCTATTCGGTTTTGGTGTTTAAGGATAGTGAAATATGCGCTTAAATGTGAGTGCATCACTTTTTCTGCCCCCCCCTCACATCTGTCGAGCTCGATGGTGAACTCCGAAACAAATACATGCACTTACTAACTACTACATCTTTGTGAACACAGCCGTTTCTGACGTGCCGGACAGCTGTTGTGATCCGGTGGGCTTCTCATTTCTTGGGTGATGATTTGATACATGGTATGTTGTGATTTGTATCGCCACTTCAAAAGTTGTGTGATGTGTACTGTTTTGCTCATTTTTCCAATACTTATCTCATTCTTTCTGGCTGTTGCCAATGTTCGTTATTGTACCCGAGGGACGGGTCGTTGCCATATCAAGCCGTACGCAGGCGCGATGTGGCTTATGTTGTTTGAGCGTTCTAGATGGCCCTGGCGATATGTATATTTTCAGATTTTGGTTCGCGCGAATAAAAGTGCTCACATACTCCTGCTTCCTCGATGCCGGTCTATCAGGTACGACTACTGCTTAGAAAATTTCAATTTCCTTTGTCTGCCTGGTGCGAAAAATTGAGTTGGGAAAAACAGAGCTTTTTCGCTCAGCTGTGTGTGAAATCTATATAAACTCTTTGGCCTTTTAGCGCTTAGTTTTAACGTATACTTTTCACTCAAATTTCCTGTTGTGACATTGGACTGTGTGCAGGGTCAACAACGTCGGGGGTGCATCATATGAGTTCTAAATAAAAAAATAAGATAAGTTAGATCTAATAATAAATAAATAAATAAAAGAACCAAAAGGCTTCAAATTATGGACTCGGAATGAGAGAAGCTTCGGAAAAGACTCCCGCAACGAATAATCCAGTAACAATCTTTGCATGGTTGACTTTCCCTGAATAACCGCCTCAGAAACAGCACTACACCATTCGTGGATGGGAAGCGCAGTAGCAGAGATCAGGGTTCAGCCTTTGATGGCACTACGTCGGCTAGGGTTTGATTCCTCGTTACACCAAACTGTTTCTTGGTCCGTGCTCCATATTTTTCCGTATATACCCTCATCCATAAAAACACAGAAGCTCTCAGCAGGAATTTCCGGGTGAAAATTTCGAGCAAATTTTTTCTTCAACACCACAAACAATCATGTACTTGTGTTACGAAGGAATGTATTATACGAGTCAGCTGACAGGAGCGCAAAGTGACTTTGATAAGAGGGAGGAGGGTTTGTAGAAGGGAGGTGGAGGGGGTTGGGGCATTTTGAAGGACTTTCATACTCTGATAATATTACGCCGATAGGATTTAGGTTTCCGGCGCTCGAATCCATCAGCTGGAAAAGTATTTGGATATTCATGGTTCACATTTTAGGCAAAAGACATCACGTGTGCGACGTAAAACAGGGGGTGGTTTTTGCTGTTATGAAAGCTGGAAAGAGCCACCACCGTCAAGTTGAAGAGGATAAGACTAAGTGATAGGGAAGAAGAATGCAATGGTAAGGCAGGGATGGGCCTATACTGCCCTGTTCTGAGGAGGGGGTCAACGTCAGAAAAAGCTCTGTCAAAGGAAACTAAACATTTATTAATTTAAAAAGATAAATTACAAAGCTCTATGGAGGTCTAAGGTAGTGCTCGTAGTGTGAGATGTGGTGGATGCTCTTCACATCAGATCTTTACTTTCTATATCTCCATTTGAGCCTAATTTTGGACCATTTCGTTAAATCCGCAGGTGCTTTCCGACTGGCAAAGGTTGCATAATGTGACATAGCATATGTAACAAGGAGCTGATTTTTATATGACAGTCCACTTGGGTGTGAGTTTTACGCCTGGGGTTCATATTTAGATCAAAGAGGTGGTACCTATTTTGGCCCGCCCCGGAATAACTACGGTTAGTTGCGTTGCCCAGACTGACCCGCGCTCCCCTTTTTACTTCAGCTTACTTTTGCAGAAAATACTTGAGGCGATGACTAGGCAATGTCCCTTACATTTAGTCAATTTATCGAATGAAACTCTTTCAATAACACTTTCGGTAATCAGCAAGATCTTGGTCTGTCGGTACTACTGAATATCGTCATCTGCAGGTTACTTACAGCAATATTTGACGCAAGCTCTTTAGCTCTCACCTGCTTCTGTTGTACACATAGCAGGTATTGGATATATTTCTTCAACCTATGGTTGAATGTTGTGTTACTTCCTGTTTGATGTTTTGTTTTATTCTCTGCGTGGGTATTGGGGCATCTCTCTCTCGCTCTCTCAATTGAGTTTTCAGTGGAGTGTCGGGGTTGCGACTTTTGTGCAATAATGCAGTAAATGAATAATGTAAATAAAATTAAATACTCTGTTCTGAAGCTCCGAACTCATTTAACTTGTCACTGAGGTTGGGAATGACTGGCAGGAATGAGTATAATGTATGCTGAGGAAAGTGTTTACGGTTTAAAGGAGGCATATCTCAAACCTTGAGCCACGTTTAGGCCTTTGAGGAAGACGATCTCGTCGAAACGTCAGGCCACTAATAAAGTTCCACCTAACAACCTCGTTGGCAGAAGAATACATTATAATTACAACAATGCCGAGGTTCTACGAAGAGAGAAGTTGGAGCCAGAAAGTTCAATGTTTTAATTCTTTTTTCACGAAGTAAGTCCCGCGGGCGGTCACCGTCAATATGGCCTTCTGCCTTCACTTCAAGTTTTCTTTCTTGTTTTCCTGAATCTGATTCCCAGCGACAGTGGCTCACTTGCATGAGCTAATGAGTCATAAATAAATATGGAGACGTGGAAATGTTTGGTGCTTTCTGACACCTTCTCTTTCATCTTTCAAGATTTCCTTCTCTGACATGCGCGAAAGCTTTTTTCGTCATGATGACCATCTGTCGAAACTGGGGCCATTTTTGTGCGCTGGTGATAATCAGTAAGCCACAAGATAACATTTCCGATAACATCACTCCACTTTCGTTTCTTGGTCGGGAGACAAGTCATTTTGGTCATTGGTAACTGGCAAAGCTTCGACATCCATTGCGCGAGTCCTCACGATCTTGGCTCCTCAGCCTCCACCGCTGCTCTCCACTCTTGAACTTTTGCTTTTGTAACCTTTAGTATACACTCTATCAACCTCTTCATATTATTAGGTTGAGCGAAAATTATCCGCCGTTTTCATTTCACTCATAAGTTTATTAACAAAACCAAACAAAAACAACAATAAATGCGTAATCAACAAACGCTCTCGAACAGTCCTCTCTGCAACCGTGCCTTCACCCAAGCTTCGTTTATTCTGAAAGCAGATGTGGCAGCATTCTGTTTCGAGCTTAAAGGCACAACCCAGGCAGAGGTCGTGTGAACGCTTCTCTTCGGTCTGTAGTATAGACCCCTAGAGGACAATCACAAATGTGGCGTTCTCGTGCACGGAAACCGACCGATAAGAGCGCGCTTGGGCCTTGCAAAGTAAGCTGCCCAAGCTGCAGACTTTTTTCTCTTATCAGGCTGTTGTCTGGCGATCTCTCATCTGTAGCGCTCTCTCGCCCCATACTCTCTCTCCGCGCTTAGTCTCTCATTCCCTTAGCACAGCCGATTAGGAAGGTGAGTGAGCCTTAACCTAAGCGTTTTTGACGGATTCTTTTCCTTTTTTCTTACTGCCGGCCCACTTCACCAATACATTCGCATTCGTGTGCAAGAGCCACACCAATGTGATCCTGGGGCATGCCTTTAACGTATCACATAGCATGAGCATACCCTTCTTCGTTCGCGTTTAAGCTCCATAGTTTAAGTTTTTTGTTTATGTTTGAGTTCCTGAGCAAACAAAAAATTATGTCTGTCTGATTTTGCTGGATTACACCCCCGCCACCTCATCTAGGACAAAATATTCAATATATCCGCTGCGTCCGGTTTTTAATAGAAATGTTGTTCTCAATAGAGGCTCTTTTATCGTTCCAATCCTTTTTTTTCCGTGGTGCTCTTGTCAACTGTGCACACCTTTGAGTGCAAAGAATTGAAATAAACAAATAAGTAAATAATGAAAAATACCCAAGTGTTGTAAAAAAAAATGTACAACAGATTGTGCGCTCACAGACTGCAGATAAATCCTCAAAAAAACAACAAGCCAAAAATCGAATAAATGGATAAAGGATAAAGGATAAAGCATTTGCCGTTGATCAATCCCTTTTTGGGATGCGGCACGCATTCTACTTCCATTTGTACATTCGTAGTGGCGTTTGAATGCGATGTGGCCTATACAATGACTTGCGGGGGCCAGCCGATGTTCAAGTCAGTGTTTTTATCCTCCCAGACAAGTCTGGTACCAATTAACCGACCCCGGAGGGATGGAAGGCTTGGTTGGCCCGGGCGACTCACGACCCAGGATTTGATCCCGGACCGCTCGCGTGGTGAGCGCGCCACTTGTCACTACACCACTTCCGCCCAAAAACATTGAGCATAAAAAAACCATTTTAAAATGGTGGTTTATTTAAACATTTTTAAATGCAATGATGGATAAAAAACCATTTTCAAAATGGTGGATCAGAAATTTCGCACGATATCAAAAAAAGGCGACTTCTTGTAAGCTGAGCCGACCTGTGTACAAGACCGAAAATTGATGAAACATTTTCAGGTACAACCGTAAATTGTGCCGTGACCTTTTTTCCAAAGTTGGAGCCGAGGAGCGACGTTCGTCATCGGTGGGCAGATTCCAGCCCAACACTGATCGTGCACAGGTTCGTCTCAAGAGTTTATTCCAAACAAAATGGTGGACGTTGGTCAAATTTTGCTCACAGCTACAACTTCATTGTTGAAATTATATTTTTATGTGGTTTGATTGCGCGTTTATGTTTTATTTGAGAGAAATAGTGTTATTGCTGATCCTTCCAACCTGTCAGATAAGGCAGTCGTATTTTTGGAAGGCAAAACTACTTGAGTGCAAAAGTCGGCGCAATGTGGATCGAGGGCGGGGGTAAGTCGCCGCGAGTGTGGCAACAGGAAATTCGTGAGCCAAGGGGAATGTAGCCCTATTCAGGGGGGGGGGGGGATATGAGGGCAGTCACTTAGCAAGCGTGAGAAGCTGAAATGTTCGATTTACACTACATTGCTAAGCCGCGCCCGGCGGCTGCCCCCCCCCGAGAAAACCGTTGCACAAAAGTCGCTTCGGAGAATGCATAAAAATCGCTCGTGCAGATGCAGTAGAGCCTTCAGGAATTTGGCACTTATTTGTCATCTGCCGTAGTGTATACTGGCCCATGTCCATTTCTGAACGCTTCTGCGACTTGGTGTTTTGTCGAGAGGAGAACGGAGGGGGGGGGGGATGGGAGAGTGGAAGGAAGGGTGGAGTTGGTGACACTACTACCTCGGCGCAGTGTGAAATGGGGTGAACTTTTTTTGCCAACTGATGATCAAATTTGATCCAGTGTCTCCTTGCTCATTCTAACCCTGCGTTATTTTCTCAGTCCATCAGTTTGGACCGCCGGAAACTGCCGTGAAGTTCACGATTAGATCCCTAGACATTTTGGCCTCGAGAAGCTAATAGTTTCCCTAGCGTTTTGGTGCTCCACGACCTGAAAGAGTGCGGCAAGGGAACCAGCGCCTTCAGTTGACCGCTACGACCGCTGCGGTCGCTGCCACTCTATCAATCGTAGCACACGTGGCATTTGCATCCTCTCGCGCTCTGCCTCTTACCATTGCCTTTTACATTTTCAAATACCATGGCCAACTTACAAAAAGAGAGTTTCACTGTTTCTAGTGGTTCTGTTTGCTTTGGGGCTTCCACTGACGAATTCAACCGCAACTCATGTCCTCAAGGCTCACTACGACTTTCTTACTATCTAATTGTACAAAATGGCCCACCAATTCGATCGCGACTCGTGTCTGCAAGGTATCAAATGCGCTACCATAATATCTCCGTTTCCTGAATGCTTTTTGCTGTCAGCCTCTGGGATATTCACATTAGTCCTTGGAATGTCATTCACTAGAACTTTGTCAGCTCATTCTGAATCGAGTGTACTATTGCTTGAAACGCGCTATTCCAGATGAAAATTGTCGGCTCTCCTGCCGTTTGCAATCGCCTGTTCAGCTCTCCCATTCGCAAATCAAAAGACCAACATGAACATTTCTCCGAAAACGTGGCGAAGCCTCTTTGCCCTGACAGCTTCCAAGAGGTGTTGCCTCACATCGACACTTTCATCTTTGACGCCGATGGTAAGAGAAGCGTTCTAATCGAACAATTCTCCTTCTGTCTATTACTTCAGTCAACTTGCTAATTTTCAGGGGTTCTGTGGTTAGGGGACGAAGTGATCCCTGGCTCACCAGAACTAATCGACTTTCTAATTAAAAACAATAAAAGGGTGATTGTTCTCACAAACAACGCCACCAAATCGCGGGCCGTTTATGCAGCTAAACTCGCAAGCCTCGGGTTCAATCGCCAGCTTGACAAGGTAAGCTTCCGCTTGAAGATTCGATTGAAAAAGTCGTCAAATGAACCCTTTAGAACTTCCTTGTGAATCCAGCCGCAGTCATCGCTGACGCTTTGTACAGAGCGGGCATCGCTGGCTACAAGAAGGTCTATCTGATCGGAGCTAAAGGAGTGCGTGACGAAATGGATGCTCTCGGTAAGTGCACTCACCACTGAGACAAGGAATTTGGGTAGTTTCTCAGGCGTCGCGCGGAAAAGTGATATCCATTTCAGGTATTGAGTATTTCGGCCATGGTCCTGAACCTGTGGACACTGCTGATGGGAGCACCTTCATGTATGACATCGATCTGGAAGTAGAAGTAGGTCCTCATTGCTGCATCACTTATCAAGTCATTTATAAGTCATTTGCTACCTACAGCTTGCTTTTTAGCCCTCCAAAGTCGGAGCAGTGGTTATTGGTTATGAGAGGCATTTCAACTACCACAAGCTAATGAAGGCCACAAACTACCTCAAGCAGCGACACTGCCTCTTCCTGGCCACAAACGAAGACGAAACCTGTCCAGGGTCCAACCCGGACGTTGTAATTCCCGATGCAGGTCCGTAAAATATCTTGGAGGGGTTTTAAAGTACCACGATTCTCCCCTTAGCGATTCAATTTTTAGGACCTATTGTAGCGGCGGTGCGATGTGCATCTGGCAGGGAACCGATCACAGTCGGAAAGCCGAACAGTCCATCACTCGACTACATACGAAGGCGATGGAACATCGAACCTGAACGTACCATGATGGTTGGCGACAGGTACTGCGGTCAGATACCAATTCTGCCGGTGAATGATAGCTCAGGCATTTTAGAACGAATACTGACGTGAAGTTTGGTCGTGATCATGGCATGAAGACGCTAATGGTACTGTCCGGTTGCCATCAGCTCGAAGACATCATGGACAATCACAAGAACGACTTGCATGACATGGTTCCGGACTACTTTGCGACCTGCCTAGGAGCTCTGTTATCTCGAGGGCAAACTTAGTTCAAGCAGATTGTGTATATGTTTGTACATACGGTCATTGCTCAAATTTGCTCAGCTCTTTATTTTCGCTCGATTCGTGTTTGCATTAATTTGCGTATAATATATATTTGAAAATATAATAAATCAGGTTTCCTAGGTACGTTGTTTTGCTTGCTAACACAGCCCTACTTTATCAGACAAATGAAGTTGACTTTTACATACTCCAATATGATAATCGATGCCGAAGACGTTTTCTGTGACTGGTCTTTGAATCGCCCTCAAAATGGGTACTCGACAGGAGGCGAGAAGGTAGAGACGTGGACGGGTCAGCGGACGAGTTTTAGCGTGTGCTGTGTGATGTGAGGCGGGCTATAGTAGTGCATTCTATTTAACTTCACGCGCAATCACCAGCAGCACGCGCTGCAACTCGTCCACTAACCCATCTGCGTCTCCGCCTTCTCGCTGCGCGACGGGCCTCCTGTCGTGTACTCCTCAAATGCACTGTGAATGTAGGAGCTGAATTTTATTTAAGTGAAGGCTCACTCTGGCCAGACGCAGATCACGAATATCGTCAACCGCACTTCACGCATGCTACTGTAACCGTAACCGTTGCAATTCTCTTGATGGAATCTTTACCTGAAAAAAATGCCTGCATTCTTTCCTCAACATAGATGCGTCACTTGTGGTCACTGGAGAAACACACGAAGTTTTATGCACGAAGATTCGGTTTCCAAAGAGAATCAAACTCACAAATCCACACTCTATGGACAGTCGAAGGTAGGTCGCGCGGCGCCAAAGGCGGGGTATGGAAAGAGGTGCGCTTTGAGGCGGCTACGTATCAGGGGCCGGAAGCAGCAATATTATTGATTTTATATATAATTGAACCATTTTGTTAGTAACACCAAAAATTCTTTTCTTAGATTTCAAGATTATTATGTGTATTTTTTCAAAATTAATTTCAGGAGCAAGCTATTTAGCAAGACTCAATACTCGGCATGGGTCCCAAAACTTTGCATCTCTGGACGCTTCCCCGACTCTAACCCTAGAGTGTTGCGTCATCGATGAGAGAAGAGACGCAGTTTTGGAGACTCAACCCCGAGTTGGGCCTTGCTGCACCAGGCCCCAGGCAACACATTGAAAGGATTCGGTTCAAGCGTTCGTTTTTGAAGTATACAGACAAAACAATCGATAGAATATGAGGCAAAAGAAGTGTGAGATGTCAGCCAATAAGTCGAAACGTCAAAAGAGTTTCTGTGACAGCACTCCTCGGACCAAGTGGGCGGGGCGGGTGGGCGGCAATCTGTTCCGGTGTCGAGCATTTGCGAAGATGTTCGGGGGAAATTTGAACACGTGACAGCCCTCCTGGTTTTTTTTTAACTGTTTAGCGAAACAAATGCATTTCGTGTGCTTTCCATTCTTTTCGTGGACAATGGGTCCAGCAGGGATTATGAGAAAAAAGGAATCATGATTTTTCCGGGAAGGATTCCCATAACACGGATTTCAGAGCCGACAGCAAGTGCGCGGTATTACAACTTATCGAAGTAGCCAGGATGCTATACCGTGGTAAGCTCACCATCAGAACATGGTGTGGAATCTCGAGCAACTAAAAAAACACCGTTTCACAAGCGCAAAATTACCAAGATCATTTAAACACGGTTTTTGTGTTTTGAGTGTATGGTAGTACGAATCTCGGCGGCAGATTGTTTTTACGATCAGCTCTATTTTTTGGGGGGCTTGCCGCTAGGCAGTCAGTATACAATTATTATCATTGTTTGACTGGAACATTGCGTAACATCCGTTATATTTAAGCATTTCATCCATATCTATGTCTAGCACCAACTAACAGTATAATGTTTACTAAGAGGTTATTATATATAGTATTTTGGAATGTGCCATTTAACTCACCGCCGTATTAATTGGGGGTTTGAACTATTAGGCCGAAGATTAATTACTAATCAGGACTTCTTCGTTTTCTCATAGCCCTCAGATACAGGAAGGGGTTTGAAGTATATCGGGAATTCTATGGAACACTTGAATTTTTGGAGTTTAGCCCTCCTCTTCCCTTAAAAAAACGCGAATTCCAATTTGGAATTCTCTTGAAAACAATCACAGTATGAAAGCCTAGAACTGCAGTTATACTGGTATACTGTTAAAGTCGAAAATTCTACAGAAAAACTGCTTTGAAGGACAATTTTGCCTAATTGTGAGCGAGAGTTGGGCGCGCCAAAAAAGAGGCGTGGTCCCACGAGCAAGCTACGTGCAAATCCGCATTGTCGTCAAAGGGTTAATCATTCTCCAACCTGCAGAAACTGATTGACCCATTGCGTACTGCGTTGCCTTGAGGAAATAGGTACAGTAACGGTCAAGACTGTTCGCCGAAACGTTTTTTCGTGCATAATTTATCTCACTCAGACACTACCCTTCTAAATTAATGAGACAAGGACTTTTGAAGCCTTCAAAACCTTGACTGTTGAAAAATTTACAACCATTCTTTGAATCTTTCTCTGGAGGGAAGAAATGAAATGCAAGAAAAACCGTTTGGGCGAACACTTTTACCGCTGCTGTATGCTTGTTTGTTTTGAGGATATCTTTAATATTTTTACGTTCTCTTTAGTCCCGACCAGGGCCAACTGTGTACGACAAATTCTCGAAAAGCTGAGTTAGACTATTTTTTCGCAAGGGGATCGTATAAGGTGAAACGTCGAACAAAGGTGGAAAGTCATATTTGTGGAATTCGATAGTGTCGCAATTGCGGGAAAGGGGTGTCGTTTGTGATGGGGTTCTCAGCATTTTTTAACGAAAACTCCAGAAAAAGAGCGTGAAATAGTTAAAATTGGAAGAATCATCTCTTGGGGATTGCTTACCTCCCCGCTTGACAGCCGTTTAGAGGGAAATGTGGTTGAGTTGAGCCGTGTAGACTGGTCTCTGAATCAAAAACAATGGGTCCCTGAAGTATAGGTTCACCCCATTCTCTTAAAATCACTGTAAGAATTTAATCATTACGCTCCAATTTTCGCTAGCGATTCCATATGGGGGCAACGTTGATATAAATAGAGTGAACCTGGACATAAAGGAAACCAATGCACAGCAACTTTGGGGTAGCAGAAATTTAGGGTGGACCTATAATTATGAAACGCAGTGTACACTTCTTCATTTCGTATGCAGATCGACAGTGGTTCTGTTCATGATGACGTCGTCGTTGCGGGAGATCTTCTTCTTGATCGTCTTCCAAATCCGTGCAAGATTAACAGTTCTTGGTTGGCCTGTTTTTGGACGTGGTACATAGTGAGCTTCCTCCCGCTACCGAGCCACAATTCTTCTCACCGTTCCAGCGTAGCTGTGCTGAAAGGAAACATACAACATTTGTAGAGGCCGTCGTCATTTGCGGTGTGTGGTCTGCACTCGACGCGCATCTGGTTTTCTGAAGCAGGGTATAAATACTTATGGCAATACCCTGCTTCAGAAAACCAGAAACGATGACTCAAGTTGAATGAAGCCATCCTTTCCCACTGCCCTAAAAAAGCGATATGCCGTCACCGAACATCCGCGTCCACGATCGAACATCGCGTTGGCGTTCTGTTAGGAACGTATCAAAACCAAGCCAAGGCGCTCCGTATTCCAAGCCTCATATGCTCAACCCTTCGAGTCGTTCTAGCGAATCTGTAGCCAATCTTGTCACTGTTCTCACTGATTTGCATTGGATACGCGTTTAAAACCATGGAGCAGCCATAAGATTACTTGTAAGGCCATAACGAATCGGCTGATCCAATCAAGAGCCTTGATTATTCTTGCCTAGGTCCCTTTCATAGAGTTCGACCTTCTCCCACTTTGTGTCCACCCTGTATTAATAGGATAGAGTGACGTTGGTATTCCTGTCCAAAGAACAAAGATGACATTGAGAGTGATAGCGTTTTGATACCGTCACCAAAACATGAGCACTACAAAAGCACTCATTTGTTGTTCACTGGAGTCATGTCCAAGCAAACACACTGACGTGAGTTGTTATGGCTGAGTATTTTTTAAGAGAAAGGCCCTCTTTTGTTTGCCTCGCGGGTCATTTTAGGGTTAGTCGGCTTGGCCAGAATTCGAGTGAGTGAATGCATCCTCTGCTTCCGAGAATCAGAAGCGCGTTGAGTGCAGAACACACAACACAAGTGACGACGGCTCACAATATGTAGATATTTTCTGCCAATGACGCTTCTGCGTCTTGGATGGTATGTCGAATAACCCAAGAACCTTCTCCACGTTTCTCTTTGTTTCTTCCCACTCGTTTTCCATCAACCAAGAACGCAGCACATTTTTTTCGATCTTTAACCAAGTTCTCGTGAGGTGTAGTGGCAAATAGGGCTATGCGCATAGTTGGCCAGTTCTAACTAAAGCTCGCCCATGCCTCAAAATCATTGGCATGATTCCGTTGGCATTTCAGCGTTTAGTTAGTACCAGATCCGAACTAATAGGAACAGATGTACTGGCTTGTGCATCGGCTGGATGTCACAACTTCGTCCTTAAGAACTAGCATTCAAATTACTCTATGATTCAGAGTGGAATATGTATGCGCGGCTCATCTTGAGAAGGATGGTCACACCCAAAGGCTTCATCCTTTAATTTTCAGCCACATCAAGTAGCGATCCATGGGTGCTCACTAAACTTGACTGTGTTGGAAGAGGGGGGTGCATTCTGCCCCAGCTGCTAATTCATCTAAGAGTTCATGGCTTACTTGGCCTTATTAATGAAACATGAGGATGACTTTGACTTTGAAACCTATTTTCGTTTTAGAGCTTCTAGGCAAAGGAGCGGTGATGGTAGCTAAGGTCTTACAGTATACTCCAACCCGCCTTAATTGGAAAATGGAGTAAAGATTGAGCCATGAGCACTAATGAGGATCGCTGCCGGTACTATCGTGTTTGGAGAATTACGGTAAGATGCAGCTGTGGTACACCATGGGTCAGGAATCCCTCGATAAGCGGTAATACTGGCTAAAGGCTTCGACCCCGAGCCCTCCGAGTTAGTTGCAAATATCCGAATCACTGTTCTCCTGACTTTTGTTTTTTTTTTTTTAATTGACCTGAGCTGCAGATGATTTTTGAGCTTGAGTGGACCAGGCACCTCACCACTAATATCGAATACGGCAGTGTTTTTGATTGGAACTTGTCTTTGCAGTCAAACAATAAATTACATGTGGGTGTCCTGCATGCTAATGTTTAATAAAAGTGTCTTAACTGTATCACTGCCGGTGTAATCTTCGCTCAGCGAACAGGAATAGATGTCCTTGCGTCTATTAATAGGGTGTTGTGGATGTGGAACGGCGCTATAAGCATCCCCACAGACAACAGTTAAGTTCTAAAAGTAGCAGCTCCCGGTGATTCAACCAGTTCAAGTTAAACGATTAGACAGAAGAGCTATCTACATCAGCTTCCTGAGGGAGCATCCACCGTGAATGCCCGCAATCGAATTAGTAGGTTCGGCACTGTCGCAGTATACGGGGGCATTGTGGAGCAGCATTTGAGACCGCGTAGAAACCCATTCCTTCCAAAATGGGGACTAAACCTTCAGGAGGGGCTAGAGAGGCTCCCCCCCCCCTCACCTGAGTATTTTCATCTGCGCCCCTAGTTCTAGCCTTTCCTAGACTTAGTCCTTGAAGAAGTCCCGCATCTTGCGACAGCGCCATAGGTTATTCTACTGATGTTTGCGTTCCCTAAAGCTCGCCCACGCCGGATAAGATCCTTAAACCGTGAGAGATTCATTACGCTCATGAGATGTTTTGACTTCAAGGTCATTAGTCAAATGAACCTTCTCAGCCATCGCTCGCAATCATAAAGGAGTTGGACCTCTGAAGTACGGCGCTGAATTACCTTCTATTTATTCGTTTATAAATTCATATATGTTAATATGTTCTTATGTTCCAAGGCGTGCCACAACCAGTAAGAACGGTCGAGAAATGTGTTGGTAGTATAACAAATTTAAGGGTGGAAATGAAGCTAAAAGGAAAGGAAATTTGGAAAAGTGACCGCTCAACAAGAATGCTTTTAAATTGAGGACCGTTACAGAACCACCGCAGCTAAGAAAATTAATCCTTAGTTGTGATGCTTACAAGCATTCTGCGCTTGCTCACATTGAGCTGCCTGGTTGTGTGCTAGAGGTCCGATCGACCTCATTTATACCTCATTTATAGCTTGTTCGAAGGTAGCTCGAACTATACTTACTATCTAGGTGCGTAAGTACTCGTGCGCTTGAAGGAACGACCACGCTTGAAAGATTCATTTCTACATGACACAGTCAAAGCATCGATGGCTGGTCACTTACTCCATATGGAGTCTACGTGTGACGGAATATCTTCTAAGGAACAAAACGATACCCTAGGGACAACCACCAACTCTGTGCGAGTTACCAAAAAATCGTGCTCTATGGAAGAGTTCTGGTCCGTGTTGAGAAGAAAGCCCACATATTTACTACTCTAGTGTCAGAGTAGTTAAGTTATTTGGTTTCAAAGTTATCGGGAAGGCCGAAGAAACGCGCTTCCAAATAATTCTGTGAATCCCGGTAGAGCTTGTCTTCCAGAAACTGATTTTAGCCTACCTTTTTTCGGCTTTCCTCTCGATTTGAATCTAGAAGCCTTTGAAGGCACTTTCCGACGATTTTCCTGAAACTCTGGTACCAGAGAACAAATCACTATACAAGTAAAAATAGTGCTGCGTTGCAGTATCGCCATAATTATAAATTCTAGGCGACGAAGTAGAATACGCGGCGTAATCACGTGAACAGCACGGATGCACCTTCAAAGATACTTGTTTTCCATCTGGCGTTCTCCCACAGGCTGCGTCTACGGTGTTTTCCCGATCTCACCGTCTAGTGAAACAATATAAAAGTTGGACGGCTCTCACCATGGAATCAGCATTTTCCATAGAAGTGCTGCAGTTTCTTAGCCTAACATTGTTCAGCTTAGCTGTCACCTAGACCTCAAATCAAATAGACCATTGTTTTCAAGTGTGCTGTTTCAGATGACAATTATTGACACTAACCTTGTTCGCAATCAGCTATTTGCCCCTAATATTTATAAATCGAAAGATGGTACCCTTCCTGTGAACGTAACAAAGCCACTTTGCCCTGCAAGCTTCAAAGAGCTACTTACCTCACATCGATACTTTCATCTTTGACGCCGACGGTACGAGAAAATGTTTTCATTGTGGAATATTCATTGTTCGCTCTCCTTATTTTTTCACAGCGTGTTTATCATTTTATCGACCTTGGGTACCTTTTTTGTTCCCTTTTTTATCACTTTATCTTCAGGTGTGCTGTGGCTGGGCGACGATGTGGAATCCCTGGCTCGCCTGCGCTGATCGACTTCCTCATTGAAAACAAACAAGCAAGTGATTGTCCTTACGAATAATGCAACCAAGTCACGAGCCGTTTATGCGAAGAAGCTAGAGAGGCTTGGATTCAATCGTAAGCTCGACAAGGTGAGCCTCGATTTCTCCCTGCATGGCTTAAAGGTGAAAAGTAAAGTTCCGTGGTGGACGCCATGTTCCCCTTCGATTAGTACCAGAGCGGCACTTTTTTAGGCTTTTCAAAACGTAAGGATAAGACTTCATTGAGGACCTGTATTCGAATATTACATCATGATAGGAACGCGAGTGGATTTCCCACTATCCGCACATATCGTCTGCAAACATCCGCCGCACAGCCATTATCCAATTTTTTGCATCACGTCCATACTGTACTATTTACCCCCGGGCCTCCCAAACTATCCATTTCCTATGGCTCAAGACCGTGTTTCCTTGACTACTTCCACACTAAGATTGATATTAATTCAGGGTCCTTTCAGTTCGCCGATGTTGCCTAAAACTAAATAGAATCTTAGACCAATCAATCATTTGGCGACATCTCCGGTTCCATTATAATCCATGGTTTTCTGATCGCTAATGATTGACGCTGTAATTAAATGAAATAATAATAAATGCCCGCATTACCATGTGGTTACCTTTGAGCATTCCTTGCGACGAGAACCAAGTTCTCCCCCCCCTGCAGCTCACCCGTAAATTTTCAGTTTTCAGGGCTCAGATATTAGAAGAAAAGGGCAATCGAAGCTTCCTTCAGGCTTCCTTGGTCAACCCAGCTGCGGTTGTTGCTGACACGTTGTGCAGAGCGGGCATCGTCGGCGACAAAATGGTCTACTTGATAGGATCTCAAGGAGTACGTGACGAAATGGATGCTCTCGGTATTCAGTACTTCGGCCATGGTCTAGAACCCCGAGACGATTCTGATGGGAGTGCCTTCATATTCGATATCGATCTTGAAGTAGACGTGAGTACTCCTTTTTGAACGACCACCCTTTAGCCGTGACTGCGCTACCGCAAGATATGGGCATCGTGGTGGCAATGCTTTGAAAACCGCGTAAATCTACTTTTTGTCAAAAACGGAGTTGAAGAGGCGAGACTCCCAAGTTGAGTGAGCAATTTTTATTACCTCCGTAACTCTTGCCCGGGCTCCGTTCTAGCATGTGCCCCCTCTTCTTGCAATAGCGCCTGTTTCTGTCGCTGTATGTTTGAAAATAGAGCCAACTTTTAATATGTGAATTTTAGCCTTGCGACGTTGGAGCAGTGGTTGTTGGGTATGAGAAGCATTTCGACTACCACAAGTTGCTGAAGGCTGCCAACTATCTGCAGCATCCACACTGCCTTTTCCTGGCCACCAATGAAGACGAGACGTGTCCAGGTCCCAACCCGGATTTCATTACTCCTGATGCAGGTATGGCCGTTTTCGAAGGACAACCTCTGCATTTACGTCTCTCATTACTGAAGTGTTAAATATTAGGCCCCATCGTGGCAGCGGTGCGATGTGCATCCTGGTAGGGAACCGACCACTGTCGGAAAGCCGAACACTCCAGCTTTCGATTACATCAAAAGGACGATGGAGGATCAACCCTGGTCGAACCATGATGATCGGAGACAGGTATGCATGATGCTTACACTCTGAATAAAGATCAACAACTGCTTGTTTCTCTTCAGGACAAACACCGATGTGAAATTCGGTCGGGATCACGGTCTGAAGACGCTGCTTGTGCTCTCCGGTTGCCACCAACTCGAAGACATCGCAGAGAATCGCATGAATGGTCACTTTGACATGGTCCCTGACTTCTATGCACCTTGTCTGGGAGCTCTGATGGACGTCAAGAACCCGGGCGTAACCTTGGAATTGTATTTTCGTAAATGTGTATCTAATCGATCTCATGGAAGCTCATAGCTTTCAGCTGTGGCAATCCTCTGCTTGAAAGATGCTCAAGCATGACGTCATGTTTTTTTTCTACAAAAATGCCGTGTGCTGTTTGTGGGTCTGACGGACCTGAATTCTATCTCTTTGGTTTATTTTGGGCACATCAAACATCTGCACCGGTCTTTGATTGAACTCGAAAAACCAGTACATGCAGGCTCTTGATAAATGCAAACCCAGCATTACAAGCTATACAAATAATAACAGAAGCGCATATTTTTGGGCATTTCTCCAGGGAATGAGCTTAGATTGTACTGTGCTAAACAGAAGTTTAGGCCTGCTGGACCCAGAGTCAACCCTGCGTTGCGCAGTTCGCAACGGCACGTCGAGAGATCCTCAACGCACGCTGTATGGGCGGAGACACAGACGGCTCGAGCATGCGAGTGTGAATGTTCGCGCGAGAGAACGTGTCTAATCGGGCGAAACTGCGCAACGTGGCCGTTGAGAACTGCGCAACGCACGGTTGACTCTGCTGGCACCTGTATTAGCCTTTCGCGCGATTAAAAATGTCATGAGACTACAAGAGTCTTAGGCAAGGTCCTACCCTTGACTGGCTCGCAAAGTCTCGTCATATTTTTCTATTTTATATTTTCGTCATGCTTAATTCAACATTTCATAAGATCACGACCAAATTGGAAGAAAGAAGCTAATGTAATCGAAAAAGTATTAAGAAGAATGCCTTCGCACAGATTTCTATGTGGTGGGCTATCTCGACAGGCTTCACATACCCCTTTTCTGACGGGCTATAAGGTACACTACAACCAAGAAGAGAACACGGTTACTGCCTGCCCTAGATAAATTGTGAGTTCTGAGAAGTACGCGGTCCGCCATATCGTGTGACGCATTTCAATTGACCCGAGCAGAACTCAGTTTTTGCTCATTCAGCCCTTTACAATTATCTATTTAAAGGAGGAATTCACGATAAGAACGAAGGTCAAAGAAGGGAAAATTGCATAGTTGGGAGACAGGCGGACCTCCTGAGGGTGCTGACCGACGCGCAATTGGCAGCGAAAGATTTGACCTCGGCGATCTAGCATGGCTCACTCTTGGCGCGGTTGGCGGGGTACGCCCACCGACTTATCTAATCAACCGCCGCAGGTCTAGTATATGCGACAAGGGATTACATTAGCAGACAGAGAGTCTGTGTAGTCTTGAAGAGGGCACAGCGATGAGAGTCGCATCAATGCGCAAATCAACGGGCAAGGAAAGGTCCCATTTCTCGGGTTCAGGCCTTTTCAAATGGTTTCTTCTTCATCCCTGCTCCACTGACCACCTCTACCCTTATTTCCAGTGAGCTAACTTTCATCGTAAATTCTGCCTTCAATCAAAGAGAAACAATCCTTCTTCCATATTTCTATTCCCCTCTTTTTTGCATGTTAAATTTATCAGTGATGCAGGTCAGTATTTTATCATGAATGAATTAGATTTTTCAGACAGGTGTGAGTGCCGTAGCATAGCCTTGTAGTGCAGAGAGAGCTAACCGATATGCGTACTCTAATTCATACCTCCCTTTGGGTCACATGTTCTTATTAAAGGCACAACCCAGGCAGAGGTCGTGTGAACTCTTCTCTTCGGTCAGAAGTATAGAACCCTAGGGGACAATCACAAATGTGGCGTTCACGTGCACGGAATTCGACCGACAAGAACGCTTTGGGCTTGCAAAGTAAGCTGCTCGAGCTGCAGCGAACGAGCTCTCTTATCAGGCCGTTGTCTGGTGCTCTCTCATCTGATGCGCTCTCTCGCCCCATACTCTCCTCTTCGCGCTTAGTCTCTCGTTCCTTTAGCACAGCCAATTAGGAAGGTGAGTGAGCCCTCAACCTGAGCGTTTTCGACGGATTCTTTTCCTTTTTTCTTCACTGCCGGCCCACTTGGCACCGATACATTCACATTCGTGTGCAAGAGCCACACCAGTGCGATCCTGGGGCATGCCTTTAAGAGCAACAACAAGTGGGTCGAATGTGTCAGCCTCCAGCTGTACGTCCTTTCGGCTTCTCCTCTCAAATTGCCGCCCCTGCTTCTTCAGTGTTGCTTAACCCATAACGGACGGCCAGTGTATTTGTTGCGTGCGCCACCATGTGGCGCACGCCGCCACCCAGGGTAGGGTTTATGTAGGCTTATGTGAACAGCAGGGGTAAGACGGGGCTAAAGTAGGTGTCGGAGTCTCATCATCCGAAAAAAGAGATTTCCGTTGACGACAAGTTCGTAGCCCGCCTTTCCGCTCTAAAACTAGGGTGCAAAGAATGAATGGAAGCTGTAGGTGACATTATCGAAAAATGCGAAACAACAACCCCGAGCAAGGATGTGGCTATATTTAGGGGAAGGGGTCTCGGGACGTGCGAACCATGGGTAAGCCACCCATCAAATAGTAAACTTATGTAAATTAAACAAAATTTATTGTAGGTTTGTCAAAAATCCAGCCGTCCAGGTCCTGGGAAGATATGTTATTCCACATTGCTGAGAGTATATATGGGTATATTAAGATTGCTAGAAACATTCCAAAAACAAAAGAAATAGTCGTGCGCCACCTTGTGGCGCACGCCGTCCGTTATGGGTTAAGGAATATTAAGGACCGGAAAAAAACACGATGTGGCGACTAGCGAGCTGCGATTTCCACTCTACTTCAATGAGGCTACCACTCTGTTTATCAGTGACACCATCCTGAACAAGTTGTCCAGTCGAGAGATGAAATATGAGCAACCTGTCAAACCCGGTGCATGTCTGAACTGTTAGAGACATTAGGATGCTGGATGAAAAATCTTCACATGATATTAGAAACCCTTGCGATGCCGCTTATACTTAGGCTTTGAAACTGCATCACTACTTAGCATTGGGGGCCAGAAGGTGACCAGTGGATTCCCTCCAGTTGGCTTTGGGTAAACAGCGAGTCGTCGAGTGGAGCTGTTTCCGTAGGGTGCGCACTTTCGGCGCAACAAGATACGGTTCTTGGATTCTTGTACATTCGCTCTAGAATTAGATCGCTTCATGCCATCGGGGCGATGAGCTCCAGGGGTTGGGCTCGTAATGAGGGGACTCAATATTTTCCAAACCAAAAAATAGCCAACCGCATGCTCATGGCTGAGTCGTACGGTGTGTCCACTTCAAGCACCTGATTTACGTGCACCTCCTTGAAACTTTGGTGAAACAATTTGACAGAGGAGATGTCCTCAAAAAAGTTGGTTTCAAAAATCCAGAAACATTAAAGGCACAACCCAGGCAGAGTTCGTGTGAACGCTTCTCTTCGGTTGTAGTATAGACCCCTAGAGGACAATCAAAGATGTGGCGTTCTCGTGCACGGAACCAACCGATAAGAGCGCTTGGGCCTTGCAAAGTAAGCTGCCCAAGCTGCAGACTTTTTTCTCTTATCAGACTGTTGTCTGGCGATCTCTCATCTGTAGCGCTCTCTCGCCCCATACTCTCCTCTCCGCGCATAGTCTCTCATTCTGTTAGCACAGCCGATTGCAAACCGCTACTTTTTTGTTCAAGTCAATGCGACGCAGTCAGTCGCTGAAGGAAGGTGAGTGACCCTCCACCTGAAAGCGTTTTAGGATTTCCTGCCTTTTTCTCTTACGACGGCCCACTTCGCCATCCATAACATTCGCATTCGTGGTACAAAGGCCATCAATCTGGCTCTGGTGAATGCTTTAAAGGTAGCGGTTACGATAAATTCAAGAAGGGTTTAGTGTGACGTGGTGGTGTTCAATGGTACCCCAGCAGCAAAAAAAAGCAGAAAAATCCGTCAAGAAAACACAAAACGGGACCCTCTTTTTTGGCCATTGGTTTCAACTCGTGAACAGGTAACAGCTAAGAAAGAGGACGTATGAACGAGTTCACCGCAGCGAATTTGATGAAAGGGGGGCGGGGGGCGGGGTGATGGAACCCATGCCAAAGTACGCTTTAATCGAGATACTCCATTTGCGCCGCTGCTGGTCACGCAGCTCGTCCAAATCAACAAGTAAACTTGTGGGCGTAACGCTGCTGGGGGCGGAGTGCTGCGGAGGTCCTGCTCAGCAACCACAGCACCTTTCGCCGTGGAAGCGCCATATAAAAAAAAAACCACACATATTGCCTTCGCTTGGCACCAATAATCGTCTCCATGTGGCGCAGGTTCTTCCCCGATGCAACAATTCCTTATCGTAATCGCTTCCTTTAACTAGTGAGCGCGGTCTCAAGCTGAAGAGAGGGGCTTGTCCCTTGTTACGGGAAAGCGCAGCCACACGTCGTACAATTGCTGTTCCAAAACCTGAACAAGTGACAGGCACGCCCAGCCTACCTCACTCATAATACCTGCCGGATCTTCTCCCTCACTACCAACTTCTTGATAAAGCCAGCACCCTGCTAGTAGAAGTGCTTTAAGTTATCGAGTCCAGGACTCGCATTGCGATTTCAATTGACTGCATCGACTCCAGAATTTAGAATTTCCGCGCGAAGGATGCGAGAGTTGCAGTTGAGTACTTCACTCAAGGAGATGTGAGATCCCAGCGTTTACTTCAATCGATAATTTTTGCGCAGAGCTGAGATGTCGTTTAGAAAATTGGGGTCAAAAAATGACATTATTTTCCGGGCAGCACACACCTCCATTTTCGAACCAGCATCTATTCACGCAATGCGCCAAACTGCTTCTATTCACCCCCAGTCCAAGAATTTTGGGGCTAATTGCTTGCCCACAGCTGGGGGAGCACCATAGTTGAGGCTCAGATTCTTGACTCTACCCATGTCTTTTCGTGAATAACGAGTGTATCGTATAGAATGTCGAGCCGACGCTCACTCGAAGCCATGCTGGGTAGATTTCGAGAAATGGGGCTTACGTTGCTACGAAAATATTTCAAAGTGAAGCGAGTGGGCTACAGTTACTGAAGAGTGAGCGATTTTTGTGACATCACTGGGTGTGGTTGGTGGAAGAAAGATTTAAAGGT